CCCCGCAAGCTCCTCTTCCGGCACCTTCAAAGTCAAGGGCCCCCCAGCTCCACCGCCTGCCCACACAAGGGCAACGAAGAAGGCGAAAGTTGACGCCGCCAAGAACAAGGACCCGGGGTACGATTGCACACAAGAGGAGCTTGACGCTTACGTTGCATCAGAAGTCAAGAGACAATTCAAGCCTCGAAGTCCAGAAAAGAAGATTCCTATAGACCCCAGTGTCAGGAACTTCTTCAGGGGTATGTCTGCATCTGTCAAGGAGGCCATCAAGCTATCGGACTATGAGCGAACGCTGAAGAAAGCATCTTCTGGAAAGTCCAAACCAGTCCCTCAGCTTGGAGAGCAACCAAACCAGGAGATCGAGCCGTTGGTGACCGGTAAAGAAATGACGATAGAACAATTTATTACTGACACCGGTCTAACTACGGATCAATTGCTAGGAGTTGCACCAATCGAAAAGGCGGAAGTGAAATACATGTACGAACTCGGTAAACCGCTTGTCAAGCCTGAGCTGCTGCAGTCCCTACCCACACAAATGTACAAGTTCCATCAGCTGTACATGGAGATGAGCGCCACCGGTAGAGAGATGATCGGAGCGAGGATCAGGGACACGGACTTCTTGCAAGGAGATGACATTCTCTGGATCAATTTCAGGGGAATCTACGAACTATACCAGCTGGACGCCCTCGACGTCTCTATTATGAGTTGCTGGATTTTGTAAGTATATCGTTCAGTTAGATTTCTTACTATACGTCTCCTTTAATTAATTAGGTCCTTGTATATAAGTAGACTATAGAAAATAATATACTCCCTTTTATCGTTGTAGAATGGAGATTCAAAGGGCCCGACGGCGGAGGGTTTTCGATACTGGATTTATCGACCCTCGGAAAGTAAACGTCGCAATGCTCGACCAATATCCACAAGAAACAGAGGACAATCTCGTCCATCTCCTGAAGGCGCAGCATTACAAGACGTTCATACTGTTGCCATACAACACAGAGTTAGTTTAATTTTACTGTCTTCCTACATACCAAATTTCATTCCTGTACGAACTTGCTAAGTGTTTCATATGTAATGCATCCCACGCACATTGCAGATTCCACTGGGTGCTTTTACTCTTCGACCTGGAGGCCTGCACCGTCAACGTATATGACTCAATGGATAAAAAAGAGTCTACGTTTGACAAGGTTTTCAAACTTATAGACAGGTACCGTCATAAGTTCCTTTGTTAATTAAGAAAATCTTGTTATGTTAATTGCTACTACGAATCATAGCTTTAAACTCCATGTAGGGCTTGGTATCGGTTCCGTCATTTGGTCCGCGGCAAATGGAGAGAAAGACTTAGGCGGAAGTTCAAATTTCCTGTGAGTACACATGCTCTACATTTATATTTCTCCGATTCAAATACATACAAGTGTATATTAATTAGATCTCTCGTTGTTTGTCATTTATTTGTAGTGCGCAAAGCAAAAGCAGGGAACTAACTTGTGCGGCTATTACGTGTGCGAGTATTGCCACTGCCTTGCAGACCAAATCATCACCACAAGAGAGCTCGATGTACGTACAAATAAATTCAAAATTTCATTACGTAGCGATTTCTTGTTTAATTACTAATCAATTTCATACATTCATATAGTTTATTCGCATGAGGGATAACCTGACCACACACAAGGAATTTATCGCGGCGGTTCAAAAACAACTCATGGGATTCATCAACGAAGAAATCCTTGATCCCAAGGGTGAATTCTACTAAGACGGAAACACAATTCACCGGTCCTTAGCTTCTGAGCTAGCAGCGACTAATACTACGTCGAAATCGTAGCTAGCTAGGACATATAATGGATTGTAATTAATACATGACTACATATGTTTCTATATGCATGTGTACACATTTTCTATAATGTAAATATATTTTGGTCATATATATATCTATATACATATGCATTTGCATAACATATATATATATGTATAAATACATATATATTATGCATGTATATACATATAATATAATATAATATATATATATACATATATATATGTATGCATATATATATGTATTGAAACATATATATGCATGGTTTATATATATATATATATATATATATATATATATATAAACCATGCAGCAACAGGGCCATGAAAAAAAAAAAAAGGTCAGCTCGATCTTTAGTCCCGGTTGGTAACACCAACCGGGACTAAAGATGGCTCAGATCGATCTTTACTCCCGGTTATTTCACCCAGGACTAAAGATAGCGATCTTTAGTCCCGGATTGGTACTCCCAGTTTGGAAACCGGGACTAAAGGGGGGTTACGAACCGGGACTACAAAGGGTTTCTCCACCAGTGATGGCATGTCATGGAAAATCTACCATGGGAGATGAGGTTGATACATGATTGGTACTTGAAGGCATCTAAAAAGGGACTCGACATGATTACTATGAAGGTCCCGGATAACGCTTCCATTAGTGGACCTAATGGGATGCTCGTTATCTATTTTAACGACCTTCACACATTTCTCAAGCTCGGTAAAATGGACATCAATCTAGTTGCCGCGTTTTGCCTATAAGTGATTTACATTTTATGACATAAATGAATTCATTTGCAAACTCACTTCTGATAAATTACCCGCTGCATTACTTAGGATGCAATTCCTTGATGGGCGCAAGGGCTAGCAGACCGGTAGGATACGTAAACCCAACAAGGGTTTGCTGGACGGAACACATGGTTGAACTTCGTAAAGATTGTCTGGAGTTGAAAGATAAAACAGAGGGAAAAAAAGCTTTCATCAAACAATTGCACAAGAAAAAGAGGATCAATGTAGCAATGTACTTGGGGAAAGTGATGCACATGCACCAAGACTAAAATGTCCACTTTGCCGTACATATTTCTTCCATACTACTATTTTTTTACTACAATATCACCTATAATTAACATATCTTCTTTGCAGCGACCACTATATATTATTTCTGGTATATCCATGGGACTACTTGGTCGTAGTGCGTGATCTGGCACACTACACCTAGAAGACATTCACGGAATTTCTAGTTTTGTTGAATTTGTAAGTATTGTTATACACCGTTTAATAACTATTGGCTCTTGTGCTCACAATTGACTCGAATAAATATTTTGTTTACATAGAGCACATAGGTATTACGTAGACCATAACGGACTAGTCAAGAATGCCAACAGAACTAAGCTTCTCGTGAAGACACAATGGCTGGTAATGACAAGTTCGTGAAGATACAACGTTTGTGAGATGCGCAACTAACGACAACCCCGATTAGTAGTACATGTACAATTCGATAATTTGATATTGCTACCGGTTAATATAGGACGACATATTCCCAAATGGCTAGGCAATTCTATATAATGCCTAGTGGGAAGAACTATTATCCCGTGACTCGACCGTACGGTATAATAGATCTCCCCATGTGGTCGTGTTAAGTCAACCGCACAGGATAATGGTTCTTCTCGTGTGGTTGGGCCGCCTGCACGTGAAAATATGATTTTTGCAGACCTTCTCGGGTGTGAGGGCCGGCCTTTTGCGCGGCAATATGCCTTTCGGCTCGCACGCAAAAACTCTTTCTGTAGTTGTGACTGCCACTGCCACCCCCAGAACCCTTGGAGCTTGGGGCCATTGTGGGGACGGAGGTGGCAGAGGAGGAGGCCGGTTGCTTGCTCAAAAGTGGTCTATTCAATGCAATATTCATAATATAGATAGATATGAAATATTATATAGCACTCCCACTATTTTTTTAATACATGACGCTGTTGGCTTTTAGCACGACAGTTGACCATCCTTCTTATTACAAAATTTTAACTAAATATCATTTATTTTGTTGTGACATGTTTTATCATTAAATAAAGGGTGAATAGCCAATACGGTCCTTGAAGTTTCGCCTCGGACTCAATTTAATCCTCTGTGTTTCAAATCATCCAAACAAGTCCTCCAAATTTATTATTTAGGTTAATATAGTCCTTAGACCCAAAAAAAATGCCACATAAGCATGTCGAGTCATCCTCGCATGTAGCGGTATGAATAAAATGACCATTCTACCCTTATATACCATATAGAAAAGAAAGAAAAGACACAAAAAAAAAAGGGCAGCCTAGGCCCAACATTGTTGCGGAGGGTGGCCGACAAAGGAATTTACACGGTCAGTGCTTGGCTGCAGCAATCGTAAGTGACAATTCTAAAATGATCATACATGTGCGAAATATTTATCTTCTTTTTTTCCTTCTTTTTTATATGGTATATAAGAGTAGAATGGTCATTTCATTTATACTGCTACATGCGAGGATGACTTGGCATACTCACGTGGCACTTTTTGTGGGTCTAAGGACTATATTAACCCAAATGATTAATTTGGATGGTGAAATATTAATCCAAAAGTCAACAGTGTTATCCATAAAAACAGAGGTAGGACCACCTCATTGATAGTAGAATATTGTTTCTTACAGTAGTATGACTTATAAATCAATAACAATTGAGATCGTTTCTACTGGTGACAATACTAGTAGCAGAGTACTTCTAATAGAGACCACCGTAATAATTACCCTTAAACAAGTACTATCACACAGGTTGGACCATCCGTTGTTCCTGGAGATTCTCGGCCCCGGAATAATATCCTACGAAACTGGGGCACATATAGTTTATATCACAGACTAAAAACCAAGACATGCCAGGCAATGGTCGGTTGGAATATAGCTAGTGCGCTAGTTCATCACTATAAGCCGCAATGCTTCTTTCTGAATTTATTTACTGCTAAAAGGCCTAAAACATTTCTTACTTTTTTATTACGTGTCCATATCTCATTGAGTTTATTATTGTTTAAGACTTGTAAAGTATGCGTGTTGCCTGTTCGGATCGCGTGTTAGAGCACATGGCAGGCGCTCAAAATTAGGCAGCTAATCATCCATTGTCCACTAGCCACTTGTGATGTTTTTGAAATAATTAATCAATAATAATAATGTGCCTAGCCCTGTACATACATGTCCAGATGTTTTGGCTGTCATCTCTTCTGCTAACTCTCCCTTTTGACTTTACTTACTTGCTGAGTTCCTCATCAGTTCCCTTCCTCTCTTTCCAAGCTTGCTTCCATCGTCGACATCTCCTCCTTGATCCGAGTAGCTCGTGATGGCCGGACTACTTGCCTCTCTGGCCATAAGGAAAGCACTGGAGAAGCTCTCCTCCTACCTGGCAGCGAGCCTTTCGGCATCGTCGTCCTCGCCGACGTCTGGGAGGGCAAGGCAGGAGAAGGACCACGAGGACCTGAGGATGCTGGAGCGGACCATGCGCAGGATCCACGCTACTCTGCATGACGCGGAGCAGCACTGGAACATCAGGGAGGAGTCCACCAAGCTGCGGCTCAAGGAGCTCAAGGATCTCGCCTACTACGCGGAGGATGTGGTGGATGCGTATGAGATGAATCGCCAGAAGGTGGAGGCTCTCAAGGCATTTGCAGGCGCCGCCAGCCACAAGCGCAAGTACCAGCAGGTAAACTTCTGCTAGCTTCTGCCATTAATCCGATTCCGGAGTGGAAAGATAACTAATTAATCGACATATATATTTTCTTGGAATAGGAAAGCGAGGGCTTGTTCTGTGATTCTCATACGGTTGCCATTACAGACGAGTTGGCTATCAAAACAAGGAAACTTATTGAGCGATTTGACGAGATCAAGTATTATTCAGACAACTTTACTTTGTCGGAGAATGATGGAGAGATACGGCTTACTCCTGATATTAGTGGTTTGCAGACAAGCTCTGTTGTCTTTGAGAATAGCATTGTGGGAAGAGTGAAAGATAAGAACAACATTGTAGAAAAGTTGTTGTCCAAAAGAGGTGACAATCTAGCTAGTCCGGTTTCTGTCATGGCAATTGTTGGTATGGAAGGATTAGGCAAGACAACGCTGGCCCAGCTAGTGTATAACCACCCAGAAGTGTGCAAGTATTTTGATGTGCACGCATGGGTTTGCGTATCTGAGCAGTTTGATATCAACAACATAACACAGAGCATCATTGTCGCGGTTACAAAGGAGAAGTGTGATCTATCAGAACTTCCTAATCTCCATGAGAGACTGGTAGAAGAAATTAAGCAAAAGAAAGTTTTGCTTGTGTTGGATGATGTGTGGAATGAAAGAAGAGATTGTTGGGATCTGCTGTGCATGCCTATGAACACCACGAAGCTTTGTATGATTGTAGTGACCACCCGCAGCGAGAAAGTCGCAAAGCTTGTGCAGACAATGTCAAACTTCTATAACCTAGAATGCTTGAGTTTTGATGAGAGCTGGTTGTTGTTCAGGCAAGTTGCTCTCACTGTTAACCAAGAAAATGCTCCACCAAACCTGGTAGAGATTGGAAAGGCTATAGTTAGAAAGTGCAAGGGCTTTGCCTTTAGCGATCAAGAGGATAGGCAGCATGCTGCGCTATGAAACGGATGAGCAGAGCTGGTTGGAGGTCCTAGAAAATGTGCTCTGGGACATGGACCAACCATGGAACGAGGTTTCGCCATCCTTGGAGTTGAGCTACAGGCATATGCCTGTATACCTGAAATGATGTTTTGTTGTCCTTGCACATTATCCGAAGGATTGCATACTTAATGAACTTGAGGTGCTTCAGTTGTTGAAATTAGTTGATCCCTTCAAAAAATGGCAGACATGATAATGAGGAAAAAAATGGCAGACATGATAATGAGGATGAGCTTGAAAGTATTTATCTCGATGAATTGGTGGAGCAGTCATTCCTTCAAGAAATTTATTTTTGATGTTCTTGATGACGACGAGTTGAAATTTCCTTTTTCTCAAATTAACTGAAAATAGAGATGAATCATTGTGACACTCAGTAGCTTCCTACGCTTGGTGATCTTCCGTCCCTCGTGTCCCTCTATTTCTATGGCGAGTGGCTTGTGCACGACACTGGCCGGTCCAGGAGTTTTGGAGCCTTGTTCCTGCAGGTGTTGGGATTAGCTTCATTGAGACATTTTGATACTCTGACGCCCAAGTTGTTCCGAGTGATTCGGAGTTAGTGGTGGTGAAATTTCCACACTACAATACTATTTACATCTGCAATGACGCTGCCAACACTAGTCTTATCCTCTGAGGTTTCTTCCATATATCTGTGCTCTTCGTGTCCTTGAGAACTATATTACTGATAGGATGCCACTGTGTATCACTGTAATGTATTCCTGCATGGCCTAAAACTGCATATACTACAGATTGGTAGGCACCGAAACATAGAGGTCCACTGTTTGAATCCCCTCTCATCGCTAGAGTGCTTGACAATCTTATCCGATGGCACCAGATGCATCCCTATTGAGCAAAGACCCCTGCCTTCATTCAGGAATTACATCCGTTTAAGCGTTCTGGGATTGAAGTACCTGCTTCCCCCTTGACATGAAGATCTACACCACTCCACTGCCAGCCAGCAGGGATAGCTAGTCACTCCTCCACTACCTTCCTCCCTTTCTGAGCAGCTCCACGAGCTTTTTGCCTTGGTCTACTTTTTGTCCCCTCATGTTCAAAAGCTAACAAAACACATCGCTCAACTATTCAACCAGCTAATATTTCTTATACTTCCTCCGTTTCATATTATAAGTGAATGTGGACAATGCTAGAAAGTCTTATAATATAAAACAGAGGAAACGGAGGAAGTAGTTTTACAAGTTTGATCAAATACTGCGAAATGCTTAGCGTCGAGAGTCCGATCACAGTCACAGCAGGAAAATCAAGCATCCATGCCACTCACTCATTACTTCTCGTCTCTCTCTCTCTCTCTCTCTCCCTCTCTACCTTATCTTAAGCAATAGTTTAAGTCTCTACCTCCTATTTTCATGTCATCTCTATCCTCACAACACATGGTAACACCCCCAAAAAATTTGTGTTCAAATCCAGAAACTAAAATATGGAACCAACAAAAGATTTTTGAAAATTGCATCACGCTAAGTCTTCCTGGTTTTTATTGCAATTTGTGCCGGTGCCAATATTTAAATTATTTCAAATTCAAATCCTAAATCCTTAATTACAATTCCTAAAATGGAAAAACAATTCTTTTAGCAAAGTCTGGTTTTCGTCCCTATGTTTTTTAGGGAAAACACTGTAGGGGAAGCCCCCACAGTTTAAAATTTATATATTAAAACAAAGTTATTTACACCAGATTAATCCAATTTACAAGCGTATCTCTCTCAAACAAATTAAGCCTATGGACTAAGAGGGAGAGTTCATTCTTAAAGAAAGCTCTCCAGGAGGCAATAGAAGGAGCAACATTATTAAAAATTAATCCATTCCTCGGCTTCCAAATACTCCAAGCGGCATAGAGCACCTTCTCCACAAAGTGTGAGGACCTGTAAGAACTTTTGGCAGTATACAACATCTCCTCAAAATTCAGAGACAAATCCCAAACCAGTCCAAATTGTGCCCAACACTGAGAACTAAATGGACACTGGAAAAACAGATGCAAAGTGGTTTCTCTTGCATTTGCCGAGCATAAAACACAGGTTAAAGCAGCATTATGAGGTGCACAATGTCGTCTATCCAGCATGTCATAAGTATTCAAACGATCAATCAACAGGAGCCAGCCAAATACCTTAATTTTCATGGCACATTTGCTTTTCCAAATCCAGTTAATAGAGTTAGGCACCTGGATATGCATAAAGTTCATAGCATAAATTTTCTGTGAAGAGAAGATACCATTTCCCCAAACATCGGTCCAAAGGTCTCTGTCATCATTGAGCTGACTCAAATGATCAGAGGATGACATTAGCAAATACTCCTGAAATGCTTGCTCAGACAGTGGAAGCACAAAGAGCTGTGAAAGATCTTTCTGGGAAACATATGAACTGAAATCTTCCATTCCTAGCAAAAGAGAAAATCCTGGGAAAAGCAGCTGACCTGACCTTATTATTCCACAGATCCTCCAAGAATAAACAAGATTTACCATCCCCCACAGTGCAGTTTGAAATACCCCTGAAAATATCCACAAACTACAAAACATCCCTCCTCCAAAAAGACCCTTTAGGAGCATTTCATCCCTATGTTGGGCTCAATCCCTCCCCACTCCCTTTCTTTCGTTTCCTCTCCTAGGCCAGGCCAACTCTCCCTCCCTCCTCTCCTTTCCTCCTAGATCAGGCGAGCCAAGCCGCCTGTTTAGAGAGAAATTTTCAAATGATCTCTCCGCCCAGGAAAATAAAAATAAAATAAATATGAATGTACCAGTGTACTAAGTACACAAAGTAAATTAATGACAAAGGAATCATTCATTTTATTATAATTCTCAAAGAATTACAAAAATACAAGTTCCTTGGCGAATCATGCTCCACGACCTATCAGCGAAGCGGATCTAACTTGGTGATTGTGTTGTCCTGGTTCCGGGGTTCGGAAAATACCCGATTAATTACTCCAATGAGTTTAACTTGTGACACCTTCGATTAAGCTACTCTAGTCTTCATCATCAATCTTTGCTTCGCATTCTCTCGTGTATGATGTAGATGCGATGAAGTGGGCGTTGGTGGGCGCCACAGTAGCATTCATGGACTTGTCAGTCCGTATGCCGGTGGTGTTGGTGATATCGTCTTTGTGTACATTGGTACATTTTGTGATTATCCAATGTTTGAGCTCACATGTTTTATATGTTTCTTTGTGATTGATCGGAATGTTTCAGTAGAGATTCTTATGGTCTTTCATTTTTTTTACTCTGATACTTGTGCATTTGTTGATGTTTCAACAGTTGAATACTGATGCTTCTAGTGCATGAGTGAAATGCTTAATCTTTATGCAACTATGTTTCACCATTTTAATCCTTTGCAACATTTTTTTTATCTAGAGGTGCAGCATTTTCATATAAGCCGTGAAACAGTTGAACTCTTAATACTTGTGAATGTAATACAATGCCAGTTAAAATTGATAAGAATTACAAAACAGCGGGAGTACGTAGTATTTTAAGTATATACTCATTATACTTTTATTTGCAATTAATTTGGATATGATATCAAATCTTTGCGCTTCATAACTTCCTTCTTTGTCATCCAAATGTAGCTATAAAAGTAGCGCCTTAGTTGCTTTTTCTTCTCTCAACATCACCCCATCAAGTACACCAAACATAGAGGTAGTTAGAGGTCGATCGATCCCATTACTTGCTTTGTGCAGGCAACGATGCTGGACGACGAGAAGACCATCCTCGAGCAGCAGATTGCCATTGGAACAGCGAGGCTGGAGGAACTGCGACGCACCAACCGTGAGTTGGAGATCAAGCTCATCGTCTGCGACCTCATGTTAGGCCGTCGCAACAACTTGGATGACCTGACCATGGACATCCTCCAGGTTGTCCGGATGGCTATTGTGAAGTACTGCCTGGAAATACGGAAACGTATCAAGGAGCTTCGTTCCATGGATTTCTCCAAGCCCACATGATCAATGCACGTGTAATTGCGTAGTGCTTAGTGTGGATGCGCCCTCCATGCATGTCTGCTCATGTATCATTTGCTTTGGTTTAATTTCCTTTGACATTGCTTGTCATAAAGTCGATCACACCATCACCACCACTAATTTCTTTTAAACTTTTGTGAGGGCTTGTACCTTTCAAAGCTTGGCTTTTATGGATCATTAGACAATAACCTATATGTACAGGCTATAAATGTCAAATTTTGATTATACTTACTATGTTATTAGTATGACTACTATACGGCACGCCCCCAAAGCCTCACCCAGCGCTAGTGGTGGGCACTCAGTCATGACCGAGACTTTGATCCGGGTAATTCAATCATTCAAAAATGACAATCAAACTTGGTACAAAAAACTTGATATCTTTTATTCTCCTTCTTCGGCCATAGTGAAGTGACCATGTTGGACGATATGCGTGGAACCTGGAGCACATGTGATAGGGATGGACAGACGGGCCTAGAGTAAGCGCCATGCAGGCGGCGGCCATGGGCCAGCCATACAGAGAGCTAGGGGAGTGCTCTTTGGTGGACAGGCAACGACAATCTGAGGCGGGAAGAGATGGGAGATGAAGCTGACGAGGGAGAAGAGGGATCTATATGGCAGATAGGGTAGGGCTGGATGAAGGACCGTTGGACTACAAACGGCGTTGGCGAATGAGAGATCGAAGGCGATGGTATGACTATATAAGGAACAAAATAAAGAGGAGGAGATAAGGATAATGTTGATATATCGGGTAGTTCGGGCATCCGGTGTAGTAAACAAAAAGACTGAACAAGGGATCTATCTTCTCAAACCTAAGACCGAGCTAGGAACTGATGATCACATTTGGTTTTTTTGGGGTCCAGCCTTGGTTTCTTTTGCCACCCCTTACCCAATGCTCCTACGTGTACCCCACTATTCTAATCAATATGGCAATGTCAAGTCTCGGTTTCTTTAGCGCACCCATACCCAGTGCTACCACGAGCTCCTCTAGTCTCCTACACAAATATGGTAAATTTTCATATCACTACCCAATCCGCTTGTTTATATAAATAAACCAAGATAACCAACCATATCCTTTCCTCCACAATACCCACTCTTGTTTCTTCAGATCTAGAGATCGAATAGGTGCAGCAGCACCGACGATGGGATATTATTCTCCGAAGCAAATCAGGAGGTCATGCCACCAGCCAGCCATTCCATCAGCACTAATGGGCCCGTACATCACGGCTGCCCTCCTCCGGAGCAAATCTACAGGCCGTATTGCTAGATGTCCCATCTGTTACGGTCCCTGGGGCTCACCACGAGAAAGTCGCAAAGCTTGTGCAGACAATGCCAAACTTCTATAGCGTAGAATGCTTGAGTTTTCATGAGAGCTGGTTGTTGTTCAATCAAGTTGCTCTCACTGTTAACCAAGAAAATGCTCCACCAAACATGGTAGAGATTGGAAAGGCCATAGTTAAAAAGTGTAAGGGCTTGCCTTTAGCGATCAAGAGGATAGGCAGCATGCTGCGCTATGAAACGAATGAGCAGAGCTGGTTGGAGGTCCTAGAAAATGTGCTCTGGGACATGGACCAACCATGGAAGGTAGTTTCGTCATCCTTGGAGTTGAACTACAGGCATATGACTGTATACCTGGAATGATGTTTTGCTGACCTTGCACTTTATTCGAAGGATTGCGTACTTAATGAACTTGAGGTGCTTCAGTTGTTGAAATTAGCTGATCCCTTCAAAAAATGGCAGACAAGATAATGAGGTCATTCATTCAAGAAATTTATTTTTGATGTTCTTGATGATGACGAGTTGAAATTTTCTTTTTCTCAAATTAACTGAGATAAAGAGTTTTGCTCCCATCCAGCAGCTCTCCCGGTACCGAATCTCAGCCCTTCATCCTGCCCGATCGAATGGTGGGAAACACGCGGTACCTCCAGGTACATATTTTCTCATGAGATGGTACCGGCTGTGCTGAGAGTGGTGGAAGGGTATTTTTGTCTTTTCGTGTAGATAAGTTTTCTCCAGCTGAACTAACCCTAGTTCGATTCCCCTTGTGTGTGGTAGCGGCGCCAGCGGCGGCAGGTGTGTGGGCGACCGTGACGGCGACTTGGTGGCAGGCGCAATGGTGCCGGTTCCGGTGACGAGGTGGTGGTGGGGTGGTGGCAGTGGTTGGTGCGTTGGCTGCCGAAGCTGTGAGGTGGCGGGGACCGCAGTGGTCCCGGCCGCGGTGATGAGGTGGTGGAGGCGGTGGCCGATGCGTCGGCAACCTTGACTGCGAGATGGTGGCGGCCGCGGTATCGAGGTGGTGTCATACCCATGCCTAATGTGTAGTATATCCATGTTGGGTGATGACGAGTGGGCCCATGAAATGGGATGGATCCCACAAGTCAGTGTTATGGCCATGTTATAAGGCAATCTAGGTCCTGTGCACGAGTCAGTGAATGAAGTGAATTGAATCTGATTCCACTCCTTCTGTTCTTCTTCCTTTGCCCCCTTTCTGTTCTTCACCCGATCCCGCAATTTCTTCTCAAATTATCTTAAGTTATCAGTGTATTCTGCTGCTAGTTTGTGTGATTCGATCTCTCACGAGCTCGGGTCATAACAATTTGGTATCAGAGCTGTTCTGATCGGTTCTCTTGCTGCTTGATTGGTAGACCCAAGGGAAGGGTTGGTGTTTTACGCACCGTGATTCTAGCCTAAGGTTCGATCTGTAGAGAGACGAGGAAGATAGTGGAAACCTTACCCAATGGAAGCATCAATGGTGGAGTCCGTTGAGCTGCATAAGCAGAAGGCATTCATGGCGAGGTTTAAGGCGAAGGTTGATGAATTGAGCGCTGCTGTGGATCACATCCTCAACAAGGTATCGCCCTCCCTAGCTAGCCCCCTCTACCTAACAGGCTTCTGTTGGTGCTGTTTCAAGCCTAGGAGCAACCACCTACACTGACGCTCAACAAGTGTTCGATGAAATGCCAAGTAACAAAGAGCCAACCATAACAACTGTTCTTCACTTCACGGTGAGCGATGTGCTCTATCTGGTAACCACAGAGGTACTTCATCAAGTATTAGTTCCTTATGATGTGGAGCATGTGATGATTGTGATCGAGGCGGTTACCTATGTGGAGGCCGTAGTCTCTTTCAAGTCCATCTAAGATGTAACACGAGCTCAACATGCACTCCATGGACGCTACATCTATGATGGGTGTTGCTTGTTAGATGTCAAGTATGTGCAGCTATGCTCCAGTGAACAGAAGGTAGCAATTCCCACCAAGTGTTCGACGTCCACACTTGCCACCTCAGCCATGCCCTTGACAGACCTTGTAGGTACAGACACGTCACTTATCAGTTACACCTCAAGTCCAATAAGTGTAGCTGACGCTCAGTCTAGCATCAAGTCCATTGCAGCCACATCCTCCAGGCTGAGCAAGCGTAACCAGCGTGTTGTTAAGTGGGTGTCACGAATACGCATTGCTCGCCGTCCTGTGCACTTGGCCTGGAGGAGAAAGGATATCGTGCTCACTCATGTCGGTGGTGTGTCATTATTTGCAGAGGCAGCAGATCAAGTGTTTCAAGAAATATCATGTATGCTTGTGGATAGCAAAGCACATAAACTTGATGAAATGGATATGAAAGTTTTTTATTCCAGTGAGGAGTTCATCACTATAATTCCCATAACTCACATTATAGATGGAATTGCAGGCAAGGTGCAAAATCCAACTGCAGAAATGAAAGTGTGCAATGTGTTTACAAGAAGGTTACTATGTGCCAGAAATGTTTTCAGTCCTTGAAATTATGAGACTAATGGAGATTATTTATTGTTGGACAAGATACTATCCTGGCAAAGAAATGGTTTTAGACCTTGGAACAATGAGCAGTAGGAGCTACATAAGGAGTGCATATATGGAGGTTTCCAAGAGGGGCATGAACATCCAGTTATGCATTGTTTTCGTTCTTGTGCATTGCCTCAGTGCAAACATATGTTTCAACTTGTAGTTTGGACAAGCAATGGGCTAATTTCAGAAGGCATGCTCTGGAATTCAATAATTCTTAGGATTAATTGCATGGAATTCCAACTTCTCGACTACCTGCAAATAAAATTAAATCGGGAAGCAAATGTGCAAATTTGGGATTTTTTTTTTGAGAAAGGGAGGGTATCTCCCCCGTTTTCATTAAAGAAAACGCTCATGATTACAACAGTTCCAGAAACATCAAGTTCTTACAGATAAGACGAGAGAAAAAAAAAAGGAAAACAAACAGTTATTACAGGACTAAAACATTGGCATTTCAAGCATCAAAACACAGGTTTCCATCGTCGTCTTCAAACTCCTCGCCATCAGTTTAGCCTGCCTCCGTTTCCGGGAAATTTAACTATTTGCCACTCTTGTGACATGGCAATTAACGATTTGCCACACCCTGTCAATGACATGTGGGCCCTCATGTGTCTATGACATGTGGGCCTAGTGGCAAATCGTTAAGCAACATCCGTAAGAGTGGCAAATAGTTAAAAGCCCCTCTGTTTCCCATCCTATTCTTTGTCTGCCGCCCCTCCATCCAAATTTTGAGTGAAAGATCTCATTTGCTACCTGCCTTAGTAGCTGCGCCCCCCACTGCATTTTTCCTCTGTCTCCCTCCTTGCTCTGCAAAATACTCCAAGAGTTTAAATTTGAGCAAATGGTGTAAATTATTTCTATAGGATCAACAGGCAGAATTCCATCAAAGCAGGCTCTGTTTCTTGCTTTCCAAATGGTCCACAAGACTGCTGTAACCCCCACCATGATCAACTTCCCATTCCCTTTGCCAAATTTCAAAACCCACGAGCTAAACATTTCCCCCACATTCCTGCCAGGCTTCACATTGAGAGCGCATTCAAGAACACTCCAACTGAAGTGAGCCATGGGACAATCTAAAAACAGATGTTGGATGGATTCACTCTTGTCACAGAATTGACATTTAATCGAGCCCTTCCTCCAACCCCTTTTGAACAGATTATCTTTTGTAAGAATACTATTTCTTAGAACCAGCCAGGAAAAAACTTTCACCCTGGGTGGTGCTTTGATTTTCCACATTTTTTTAGGGATAATTGATCCCCTGTAATATCAAAGCTCTGTAGAAAGATTTAACAGAGAAACCTTTGTTAGACAGTCTCCAAATCAGTCTGTCTTTTTCATTAGTTAGACTAACAAATTCCAGGGCTCTACCAATATTAGCCCATTTTCTCTATTTAACTGCATTTAGGTCTCTCCTGAATTTGATTGAGCCTAACCCTCTCCTTTTGATCTCTGCCACAGTCACATTTTTTGTCAAGGTTATGTTATAAAGATCTGGAGCAGACTCTTTAATAGGTTTACCCCCCCCCCCACACCAACTATCTTCCCAAAAGAGGGTACTCTCCCCATTTTCCACCTTCTTGTCACAAAATCTCAAGAACAGCTCTTTGATCTCCATTAAACCAGACCAAAAGTGAGAATCCCCATTCTTATGTTTGATTTGAGTCAGAGTTTTCTTTTTCAAATACTTGTTTCTTAGCATGTCTTGCCACAAACCTTCTGTGTTCTCCATATTCCACAGCCATTTCCCCAACAGAGCTTTATTCATTACATCTAAATCTAAAATCCCCAGCCCTCCCTGATCTTTAGGGAGGCAGATCACTGGCCATTGCACTAGATGATATTTCCTAATACCTTGATCTTCTTGCCACAGGAATCTCCTTCTATAAAATCAATTTTTTCTCTAACTCCACAAGGAAGAGAGTATAGAGATATCATATAAAGTGGGACACTGCTAATGCTAGAGTTAATCAAAGCAACCCTCCCTCCTATTGCCAGGAGTTTCCCCTACCAACACCCCAACTTCTTTTCAATTTTTTCCTCTACAGGTTTCCTGTAACATCCTGAAAATTCCCAACAATAAAAATCACTAAAATTTCAAACTTTTTTTAAAAAAAAAACTTTTGCATCATGCTGATTGTTATGATTCCTATTGCTTGCCAAACCGTAAATGATCACCAAGAAGGTAAAGAAAAGAACTACATTTAAGCAATAGATATGATTCATGAGAATATATTTAATCCTACAAATAATTATGTGCAAGATATTAAAATCAAATAAATTAAAAGTTATTATTAACCTATTTTATAAAATATTAAAATATTTGAATAATATAGGTGGGTGCGATAATACGAGTACACATGAAATGATGATCATTCAAATGAACTGAGCTCTCTGTATATATAATAGAAATACGGGAGTATTTAATTCGATATGTAGATCGATTTTGCACCAAGTTCCTAATTGCATTTAGGGATTGAAATTTTATATATTAAACCCCTCCATATAAAATAAACTAACATATAGATAAATTGAGCTAATGTGCTATTATGTTAATAACAGGTCTCATTAGAAAATTATAGAATCTTTAATAAACCTTAAAAACAAATTGGTAAAATAAATATAAATTAAAAATAAAAGATTAGGTATGGATAGTAATAAATAAAATATTATCGCGACCATATTTGGATCAATTAAATTTAATTGCGATAGAATAAGAATTTACCCTAATTAAAACTCAAATAAATTATATAAACAAAATATGAGTGATATCAAATTAAGGAGAATTTTAGTTAGGATAACACAAATATGGGATAAACTTCATTTATACAAGATTTAGAAATTATGAAATCAAATTTATATTGAAAATAACCTAAAATCGGGAATAATAGGAAAGTGCACTATTCATTGCCCGCAAGGTGTTCGATTTGGTCCCTAACCTTTCCCCTTCTCTCCCACCTCTGCCCTAGCCATCCCGAGGCGCGCGTCGCCACCTTGCGCCGCTCGCCCGCCGCGCCGCCGTCGCCATCGTCGCCGTCGGCCTCGCGCCCCGTGCCGCCGCCTCGAGCCCCGTGCCGCTGCCTCGCGCCTCGCGCCGCCGCTGCCACGCTGTCGCCATCGCCGCGGGTCGCCATCGTCTCGCGCCAATGTCGCCCGTCGCCGCCGCATCGCCGTCCCATCGCGCCGCGCACCGTCTCGTCGCCGCTCGTCCGTCGCCATCGCACCTTGCGCCCCGCGCCGCTGCCGCCCGCCCATCCCATCGCCGCGCGCCCGTCGTGTCGCCGCTGCCGCCCCGTCCCGTCGCCTCGCGCCCCGCGCGCCGTCTCGCGCCCCGCGACCCGCGCGCCGCTCGCCCATCGCATCGCCACCTCGCGTCCCGCGCCGCTGCCGCGCCGCGTCATCGTCGCGTCGCCATCGCCGTCACGCCAAGCCGCCCCGAGCCCCGCCTCTCCTCCCCTCTCTACAAATACCCCCCCTCTCTCCATTCTCCCCCACCCCATCTCATCCTTCCTCTCCCTCTCCCCTCTCCACTGCGCCGCCGTTCTCGTGCCGCCGCGCCGCCGTTCCCGTGCTGCCGCGTTGCCGTTCCCGTGCCGCCGCGCCGCCGTTCCTGCGCCGCCGTTCCCGTGCCGCCGTGCCGCCGCTCCTGCGCCGCCGTGCGCCACCGTCGCCGCCGCCGTCGTCGCCGCTGCCGCCGCCGGTGAGCCGCCCTCCTTCTCCCTCGCGTCCATCGCCGCCGCCGCTCGGGTGGGAGAGAGCCGAGAGAGGGAGATAGAGCCGAGAGAGGGAGATAGAGCCGGGAGAGAGGAGAGAAAGAAAGGAAGAGGAAAAGAGAGGCCGACAGAGAGAGAAAGAGAGAAGAAAGGAACAAGGGAGAGAAAGAAAAAGAAAGGAAAAGGGAAAAGAGAAAAGAAAAGAAAAGAAAGAGAGGGAGAGAAAAGAGAGAAAAAGAAGGAAAGGAGAAAATAGAAGGGAAATTGGGGGAGAAATTAGGAGGATTTAGGAAATAAAAATGGTCGGGGTTAATAATAGATTATTTTTGGAAATTCCTCGAGCGTAATAGTATTTCGATCGAAATTCCGAGTTAATTATAAATATATGTTTCTTGATCAGATTAGATTAAAATTGGTAACAATTTAGATATAATTAATAACCATACAATTAGATGAATTCTTATAGATTATTATAGATTATTTTTGGTAATCTCTATAAGTCATCGGTTCATGGTAGAAATTCGGATTCAATTACTAGGAATCTTAGCCGTGTATTATATTTAATCGTTTAGTCATAGACTAAATTAAATTGTATAATATTTCTAAGATTTCGTCCGATATTTAGCTCGTAATAGAAATTTCTAACCTGTTATATGGATATAATGCTCGGGATGAGTAAATTAAAAACTTATGACAACAAAATATTTATACCCGCAAAATAGTTTAAATCGAAATTGGGTTTGCCGTAGTTCGCAGATAGTAAAGTTAATAAAAAGGAATCGACTTTCGCATTCGACTTTTACTCGGATTTAAGTGAAACTTGAACCTAAATTCATCTAAATTCATAAGCTTTCCAATGATATATAATTCACTATTTAACAAAATATATTTATAATTATAAATTAATTAATATCAAATGATTAGATAATAGTTAACCTAAATAGTGTGCCAATGAATAAAAATGGATATTGTACAGTAGCATAATTATCTTTAACCTGTATTGTATAGCTTACAGTAAAAAGCAACTACTCAAATATATGATCCAATAATAAGATATTGTTGCTTACACATATACTATACATCCCATTATAGTGGTACGGTATAGTATTAATTTGCGTGTTGCATAAATTAAATTAAGAGGGAGAGTATGACAAACATGTATATTAGATAAATACCAGTTATAAATCTTGATCTCATATAATTATAGTTATAGTTCAACTGTAAATTAGGATTATTCATTGTAAAATTATGTGATGGGATAATCTGTACCCATAATATGATTAACCTGAACAACTCTAACATACAAAGCATGGATAATTATTAACCTTTTATAATTTATTGTGACAAGTAAAATATGTTCATAATTAAAGTAAAGCTTCCATCAATAAAATAATAATACAAATGATGCACTATAACTATTTGATTGATCCTAAATCCATCTAACAACAGAACCTCTAGTAAATAACCGTCCTATGTAGATAGATGCATGCTTAGCCATAATCCTTCCATAGCCACTTGATAGACTAAACCACTGATTAGCCAAATATATATGTATCCCATAAATGCTATGTAGGTTAACTCCTAAATAGGCCACGATGACAATAGAAAGATTAAGAAACTTTAGCCTTAGCATGATTGGGATCCATTAGCAAACACGAATAGTACATTTTGTTGCGCATATTTGATTGTTGTTTGAATATTGGTTTTTCTCGCGTATTATAGACCTTGTGTATCGGTAGTCGTGAGGCAACGTCTGCAACTTCCAGGAGGTGAAGGTTGATCAAGATTATATCAAGAATAAGGACTATCCTGAGCAAGGCAAGTCATCACTATTCCTTGAACATGTTGATCCTAATTGCGAAATTGTTTTGTTTACAAATAAAATTGCATGCAATCATGAACATCCTACTTGTGATTATACCATGCCTTGATTATTGTTCACCTTTAAATCTTTGTAACCATAGATACGTACGAGTCCCTAGTCAACTATGACACTTGCTTAGAAATGCTATTTTAGATTCATGCATACTCATATTTATCAAATGCTATATGCTTGGGCAATTACCTTTGGGAAGGTAATTGAGATGCGGCATGTGGAGACATGAGCGCCACATTGCCATGATATTGATGACATAATTTGTGAAAGGAAAATAAAGTAAAACAATTGTTTTCGACTGGGGCGGCTGGAGGATTTGGGTGGTGTCCGGAAAAGGCTAGTGCCGTCCCTGGTCAATTAAGGACCGAGCCATGAAGTTAAGCATGAAACGACCCCCGTACAACCGCATTTCTCGTATGGGTATAGACCTAGCAGAGTAGATAGCTGAGCGGAGGCAGTATCCATGCATAGTGGTTTCTTGATGTGTGAGGCAGGGGCTCTACGGTGGGGCAGCCATTGGTAGGACCGCGAGGCGGGTGTCTACAATGGTGTCGCCATCGGTAGGACTGCCATGTGAGAATCTAAAACATAATTATAACTTAATGCATGTGTGAGTCTTCCCTTCCCGGGTGCGCCAGAACTCCTCTCACTGCTAGAAACCGTGTACGCCTAGAGTGTATGAGGATGAAAAGTTCATGGAGCGGGTACTGCCAATGCGAGGTTATCGAAAAGCTTTGCCGTGACGCGTCTCATGTGTTGGGACGAGGCTCATGTGTTGGGCAGTCGCGGAGTGCGGGTAAAGTGTACATCCACTGCAGTGTGAGTAAACCAAATCTATTCGAATAGCCGTGCTTGCGGTTATTGAGCACCGGGACATGTATTACACTTGGCTAGACTCTAAATTCTTAACTTGTGTGGGATGGGATATTGCATGATGAATTTTATGCTGATGGAGCCACATCCCGAGAGAAGGGAAGGTGGACATCCTCAGAAAACCATGACGATTCAATGGCGCGAAGCTATCCTTGGGATCACAATGGATGGTGGACAGAACCGTCGTTGTTTAAAAGTGAACACTGGTACTAAAATTTGATCAGTCTATGCTAGGTTTTAGGCTTGTGAAAAGAATTGTAAAATTAGCTTTATGCAAAAGAACCTGAAGCCATTCCTTGAAATACCCTCTGTCATATGCATTGTTGTTGTGGTGGCTTGCTGAGTACGGTTGGTACTCACCCTTGCTATTTATATATCTTTTAGGAGAGTGTTGAAGAGAAGCCCTTGTCGGTACGCTTGCGTATCCCACAAGATGATCGGAGTGCTGTCTTGTTCTAGGTCTCGTTCCCCAGTCGACTGCCTGTGGCATGTTAACCGGGCCCTTATATTATTTTGTCTTCCGCTGTTGTTCTCTGATAGTTGTTGGCCTACCTGGCCCTAATGTAAGTATTTAACTCTTTTAGCCTAAATTCATTCGTGATATGTTGTGATCCAACTATGTATGTGTGTACCAACTACTGATCCAGGGATTGGTACGGATAAACACAGAAGATTTCCGATTTCCAAAATCGAGGGCCTACATTTCCAATCTTTGTTATGGATTCTTACTTGAACTATGGGAACACCCAAATATTTCATTGGCAGTCTCCCAATTTGGCAAGTGAACATTTGGCTGTATGAGTCCTGTCTCTCAGCTGCCTCTCCCAGGCAAAAAACTTCACTTTTATGAAAGTTCACTTTTATGAAAGTTCACTTTTAGGCCAGTCAATTGCTCAAAAATACACAGAATGAATTTGAGGTTTTTTGCATATTCCAGAGAATCCTGGATCAGGCATATGGTATCATCGGCATATTGTAAAATAGCCACCCCCTCTCTCATGACATCCATTCCCAAACCCTTGATTAGTCCCTGTTGCTCTGCTCTTTTGATAAGAATGGTTAAAACATCAGCAGCAATGTTAAAAAGCAAGGGTGAGAGTGGATCCCCCTGTCTCAACCCTTTGTGTGTTGTAAAATAGTGCCCTATCTGATCATTCACTCTTATGGCCACTTTCCCCCCTTTAACCACTTTCAAGATCCAATCAGACCATATGTCAGGGAATCCCTTGGCCTTCATCATTTTATACACAAAAGACCACTTAATGTTATCATATAACTTTTAAAAATCAATTTTGAAAAGAATTCCTGCCTGCTTTTTTTGATGAATTGAGTTCAGAATTTCATGCAAAGTTACAACCCCTTCCATTATATATCTGTTTTTTATGAAAGCTGTTTGATTCAAAGCAATCAAGACTTCAATCACCTCAGCCAGCCTTTCCATCAAAATTTTTGTTATGATTTTGAAACTCACATTTAAAAGACATATTGGTCTGAATTTCTGTATCATTCTTGCTTCTTTGCATTTAGGGATCAAAGTTATAATACCATAATTTAATCTCTCAACTCCAATTTTTCTTTTCATGAAATCTGTGATTAGTTCCATCAAGTCATCCTTAATAAGATACCAAAAATGTTTCTAAAATTCCACAGGAAATCCATCAGGCCCAGGGGCCTTATTGTTTTCCATCCCAAAAACTACATTTTTCAGTTCCTCCATTTCTATTGGTCTGATTAATCTCTCTTTTTCAGCTTCACTCAACATAGCTATGCCTTCCAGATTCAAAGTAAAATCATTCTCTGGGGGGGGGACCAAAAAGCTGTTTATAAAAATTTGTTATATATTTCATTAGATCACTCTGTCCTTTAATCTCCCCCTCTTCCTGATCCAGAGAATAAATCATGTTTTTTCTTTTCCTTCCATTGGCTTTAGCATGGTAATATTTTGTGTTATCATCCCCTTCCAAAAGGTTTTTTTCTTTACATCTCTGCATCCATTTCAATCTATCCTCTCTTACTACTTTCTTCAACTCTTCCTCCAAATCCCCTCTCTCTTTTCTTTCCAGAATAGTCATTCCATATGCTTCACATTTTTTATCAATGTCTTCTATTTTTCCCATAATTTCCTGTTTTTTCCTTTTGTACATCCCTTCCCAGTTCATGTTCCAACCTTTTAGTTTCTTTCTCATTTTTTGTAGCCTCCATTGCCATTTATCAATACTGGATCCATTTATGTGCAAATTTGGGATAACTTCAGAACTATGTCAATTTCCGGTTTCTCCATCTGGCAGATGTTATGGCAGAAAGTACCATGGCCTCCGCCTGCTCGATTTTCAGTTCATCCATTTTGGATGATTCTCAAGGTAGTAGTATGCGTGCAGTTGCAAATCAGTTTTGGCATTGCTTATATGCTCTATTTCGCTGGCGTGCTTCCTCTAGGCTCCTGCAATCCTGTTGTAGGCTTTCCCAAGAACTAATGCATAAATGTGCACTTGTAAGCTGGACTACGCATTTACAACTAATTGCAAAATCTTCAAAGGATATGTATATGCATATATATATACTTGCCGACGTGATGTGCTTCGTGTGGTGAACGCATATATATATATCAGAACAGTGGTCAAAATCTTCCATGACACTAGCCACTTAGTCGTGCGTTGCACGACTTTGAATTCCCGTATGAAAGCCATCTATATATGCATCGTAATTATGTCAAAATAACCTAGCCGTTCTCAGACTACCGAGTAGGCATGAAATTGCCGATAAGTCATCTTTGTTGGTTGATTTTATCGACTTATGTCGATAAGGGTTAGGAGAGGATCTAAACCACCGGTTTCCTTATCCTAACAAGAAACAAACTAAGAGACAAATTTGTTTTCTTGTGTGATCGGTACAGAAAACGAATTCTAAACTAATTGAGATAACCCCCGAGCCCCACCAGTGTCGTCTATATAAAGAAAGAGAAGGAAGGAGGCAAATGACGACTGATCTCTCTCTAATTTCGAACCCTAATTAATTGCCCGATCAATCAAGGCACTGGAAGGGGTTCGTGAGGCATCTCTAGAAGAAGAAGAAAAGGAGAACAGCAATGGCTTCAAACATAGGTCAGTAGATCAATTATTTTTCCGCATAAGTAAGAGGTGATTGTTTGTAGACTAAAGCCTAATATCCTGTAATAAGAACTCCAACATTGTGGTATCAGAGCTGATCTTTAGTCCACTCAATCCCTCATAATCACATCATCCCTGTGATTAGAAGCCATCCCTAAAAAAAGGTTCAAGATTGATTCGGCATGAACAATTTTGAATTAGATTAGATTAATTTCTTTAAGTCTTGGTTGCATATTAAGCCATGTTATACTGATTGGTCTCGGTCATCAGTAGAAGAAGCTGTTTAATTCAAGTTTTCTATTTAATTGGTTATCCATCAGTGGAGATTAAGAGAAGGGGATTGGGATAAACAGATTGAAACTCCCAATTTCCCCGCACCCTAAGCCGAAGCAAATTAAGAAGGGGATAAACTAGATTGAAATTCCCCTAAATTTAGCAAAAGGAAATTCCCAATTTCCGCACTCAAAATTCCTAGACCGAAACTAGGGTTTCGGCTAGTACAAAGCAACAAGAATTAGGGGATAAACAAGATTGAAACTCCCCATGGGTAAGCAAAGGGAATAAACAAGATTGAAATTTCCCGAAACCCCAATAAGCCGCATCAAATCAGTCTAGAATTCCCAAATCGAAGAACCCAAATTTTGGGAAGAACCCTAAATCCCACATACCCGTATCAAAACTCAAATCAAATCAATCTAAGCTAGAGTTTTGGTTCACTTACAAGAATTGCGAAACCTCCTAAGCCTACCGGAGCACTCCGGGAAGCGGCGTCGCTGCCTTCACCTCCTCGCAGCCGCGTTGGGTTCTCTGCGCGCGCCGTCTTGGAGTTTACCTCCACCGTCCCTCACCGGGGACAGGAAGCGTCGGCTTGGCGGCTGCCTTCGGGTTCCCCCCCCCCCCCCCCCGCCGACGAGGTCTGGCCGTAGCACACGGCTTGGCGCCGCCCTCGGGCACGCCCCCCAGCCAGTCGAGGTGGAGCCGCTGCGGCGCTCGCCGCCACATGCGCGCGCCACCTCGCCGGACCGCCGTCGCAACATCGCCGCCGATTCGCTCGCTCGCTCGCCGGACGCCGAATCGGGGGAGAGAAGGGGAGAAATGGGGATTAGGGTTAGGGTTTGACCCGTTCAGCGATTTCAGCGGCGAAGGCGAAATCTTGGCCGTCTGTTTGATCGGACGGCCATCCTCGCTCCCGCGTCGGGCCGTCGCCGTCATGGGCCGCGCCGATCTGGGCCGAGTCCGCCTAAGCGCCGCGCGCGCACATAGGTAGGCCGGTCCTTTTTGGGCCGGCTTATCGATAAGAATGCGCTTTTTATTTTAATTTATTATTAAGCCCGCGAATTTAATTTCTCAGAATTTACTTAGCCCATTTTATGGGCCAGCTTAGGAAGTGATGGGCCGCATTATTATTTTAAGCCCGCCATTTATGTCTTATTTATTTCCAGAAATTTATTTATGAGTTTTCTTAGCCATATAAATTGCTGGAAAATTATGGTCAATTATTTGATCACTTAGAAAATTATTTCTAGTTAAATGGAACCAACGGGAAGTTTGGCTAGAAAGAAATTAATGATATGATATTATATTTGACCAACGTTAATATAATTTCATGTCAATATTTATTAAGATTATTATTTCCTTAAGCCACTTAATTTATTTCTAGTTGAATGGAAATATAACTAGAAAGTATTTATGATTTCATGTCAACATCATTATGATGGTCATTTCCTTAGTATATTAATTATTTATAGTCGAATGGAACCAACGAGAAATTCGACTAGAAAGCATTAAGATGTGAAGTTATATTCAACCCACTTTATTATGATTGCGTGTCAATTATAATTTTTTATTCCTTAGTTATTTTCTACCAAACAGTGATATAATTGAGGAATTGATTTTAAGATTATTCATAATTATTTATGACCAATGGTGCTTTGACTATGAAATTCTAAGTTTATTTTGCATATGATCGACTAAGCCAATGTAAATTTTATGCAATTGGCAATGCTTATTATTTAAGATCAGTTGCAATACTGAGTAATTTATTTCTAGATTAATGGACCAACGGGAAGTTTATCTAGAAAAAAGATGATTTCATTAAGATTATTATTTCCTTAATTATTTCTGCCCAACGGTGATGTAATTAAGGAAACATCTAAGTATCGTCAATCATTAATTTCATTTTCTTTGTCATCTTGGCCTTTACGGTGATATGACTTAGAATTTTACTTATGCCATTAGTGCATTAATTCCTCTGTCACTCGTGCCTTACGGTGATATGATCAATGATCTCTAATCTGTTACTAAGCTTAATTCCTTTACCATTTCTGCCCAACGGTGATATGGCTAAGGATTTTAATTTCATGTCATTTACTAATGGCTTTATGCCCTATATCATATTACCTACTTTTGGTAATTTGATTTAGGATATTGATTTTCAGTAATTCATTATTCTCTGCCATTTCATAATCCTTTCTACCCTATGGTGTTTGATTATGAAAATTAAGATTTATTTGTATGTGATTAATTAAGCCAATGGAAATTAATTGCATTACTAATGTTTAATTAATAATTAATTTTTCAGCATTAGGACAGCTTAAGGCCATTCAGCTTCTTGATGGATCAAATTACATTGAATGGAGAAATAATGTGCTTATTAACTTAGCCATGTTGGATTATGACTTAGCCATAAGAGAGGATCCTCCCGAGGAACCTCAACCGGCCGAAGAACTCAATATAATTGGGGAAGAATATGATAATCTCATGTGGGCCTACAATAAGAAGTTAGCCAACTGGGAGAAGTCCAACAGAATGTGCTTAATTTATGTCAAGGGTGCCATCTCTCTAGAAGTTATTGGAGAAATCATTGACTCTAATGACATTAAGACGTATCTGGCAAACATTGAAGAAAGTTTTGAATTTGCACCTGAGACTCATGCCAATACGCTTGTAAATGAGATGATCACTAGTCATTACGATGGCAAAAGTGGTATAAGGAAGCACATCCTTGAGATGACTCATATGGCAAATCAACTCAGATCCATGGATATGAAAATATCTGATGGATTTTTAGAGCACATCATCATGAGATCTCTTGGTCCTAACTATGATCCATTCAAAATAAAATATAACACTCAGAAAGAGGAGTGGACCATACAAGAATTGATCTTACACTCCGTGGAAGAGGAAGAGCGCCAGAAAGCTGGAAAGCAGAAGGTTAAAGACCGGCTAAACCTCACTAATGCCTTTGATAAAGGCAAAAATTCTATCAAGGGGAATCCTCTAATAAGAATAGCAAGCCAGAGGGTGAGCAGAAGCAAGAAGGGATCAAGGCCTCCACTTCAGCTGTTCCTTTAAGCACAAGTCCCTACTGCCACTTCTGTGCGTCAGATGGACATTGGCAGAGCAATTGCTCACACTTCACAGTGTGGTTAGTCAAGAAAGGTATAAATGAAATTAAATAAATCCCTTGTGATGAATTTTCCCTTAATACTTAGTGAGTTTGACTCAATGCCGCTGTGCATGTTTCTAACTCATTACAGGAAACTCGCACTGTCCAAACGGTAGCAAAGAGGGGAGTGAACACTCAGAGTAACTGATGGAGTGAAGATGAAAGTGAAGGGTTGTTGGAGACCTCACACTTAGTTTCTCCAGCAGTTGCAATAATGTCTCATTTGTTCACTCTATTAAGAGAAACTTTACTAGTTTAATTATTTAAAGTCATGTGAGAAACGGGTCATGTCTGTTATTTTTCCAAATAGAACATGATATATTAAGTGTGATAATAAAGTGATTGGTCTTGTCCTTGTGCACGACAGTCATATTTGTTCTTTTGGATGACCATGTGACTATTATAATAATTGTTTGTAATGACAAAAGATGAGACGTCATTGAAATTGTGACATTGTCATTGATGTCACATTTCTAGGGGAGGTTAGAACGTCTCATAAGTTGGAGATTTTCTTTCCCTTGGATTAATTTTAAGTAATTTAAGCTTTAAGGGAAGCTTCACTAAGTTAAGAATTTAGCCAATAAATAACTTTTGGCTATGTTTACCCATAAGGCTATGTTTACTCATAAGCAACCTCCGATTTCCTTCAAGAAATTTAAGATTGAAGATACTAATGCTAAAATAAAATGAAGTTATGAGATCGGATTATGGTGGTAAACACTAAATAAAGCTTGTTCACCCGATGAAGACATTAAAAATAAGCGTTCATCCAAATGGTTTTCGAACCATGTAAGAATAAATTGAGATTGATGAACAAAATAAGACATTAAAGTGTTCATCTAAATGTTTTTTCGAACCATGTAATAAAGAATTTAGTAAAAGTTTCTAAATGAGTCAAAAATAGGCCATTTAAGTGGGTTAATAAAATTAAGCCTGACTCTAATGGAAATTTTCGAACAATTCAAGTGAGGTGGACAGCTGCATGAAAATTAAAGGTGGGAAATTTCATTCACCGGTACTCTATACTAACGACATTTTATTGTCAAGCAATCCATATTGATGTTAGAAACTAAGGAATTTTTCCATGAATTATTTTGGTCTGAAGGAGTACTGGGCTTATATCAGTAAGTCATACATTGACATAAATTAAAGAAATAATTTGAGAGAATTCAGTTAAAGTTAGTCAAGCTGAGATTAAATTCTAAAGTTAGACTCAGCTGACAGAAGCTTGAGATTAGTTCAAATCTGGATGCATACAGATTTGGCAATCATTTTGCTGGGAATCTTGGCAGTATTAATTAAATCCAGACTAGACGGCCACTGGTATTAAGAAAGTTTTGTATTATCTGCAAAACAATTTTAAGTAACATGCTCATATTTCTAAAGTCCAATGATCTCAGAAGTTTAGAGACATTTGGACACTTATTTTGTGAGATGTGTGGATATTTATAAAGATTATTAAGTTAACTAAGATTAAGCTATGTCCACACATAGGGGAGCAATAACCATGGAAAAGCTCCAAAATAATCTCTTACTGCATAGTCGACGATGCAGTTAGATTTTAAAGCATGTTATGATTAATCATAAGAATATTTCCCAGAAATAAGAGTGGTAAATAGCGCTCATAAACCACTCAAAAGGTGTAAACCACCCAAAATATACTGTGTTATAAGTTGTGCACTAATTGAACACAGTTTTTTATTCTAGTAGCGACATGTTGTGTGTTTTCTGCCTAACACATTGGTATGGTTGTGAAAGATATGTCCCAGGATCGAATTATTAAGCTAAGCATGTGCTAATGGATCCATACTCTAAAGGCTCATAAATTAAGATTAATTAAGATTATGTTCTGGCCAGTACATATGTAAATTAGAGCCTTACTAAGATCCTGGATGAGGGGGACTTAATTTTTCAATCAGCACCCACTAAGTTAAGCTTGAGTTTATTTGAGTACTATAGTGAGCTATAGGTCTTGTTGTCTCAGTGACGCATAATGTTGTTGAAGACACATTGCCTTGGGGAGCTATTTTATTTAATAGACTCGTAAGTAAGTCTCAAAATCAAGAGGAGAATGTTGGTTGATTTTATCGACTTATGTCGATAAGGGTTAGGAGAGGATCTAAACCATCGGTTTCCTTATCCTAACAAGAAACAAACTAAGAGACAAATTCATTTTCTTGTGTGATCGGTACGGAAAACGAATTCTAAACTAATTGAGATAACCCCCGGGCCCCACCAGTGTCGTTTATATAAAGAAAGAGAAGGAAGGAGGCAGATGACGACTGATCTCTCTCTAATTTCAAACCCTAATTAATTGCCCGATCAATCAAGGCACTGGAAGGGGTTCGTGAGGCATCTCTAGAAGAAGAAGAAAAGGAGAACAGCAATGGCTTCAAACACAGGTCAGTAGATCAATTATTTTTCCGCATAAGTAAGAGGTGATTGTTTGTAGACT